CTCCTGTAAAATACTTGAAAGAATAATTAGGCTACGACAGGTTGCACACCTGGAGAACGTTAGGTTTGTAAACAAGCATCAACATGGGTTCTGGACAGGGAAATCGTGCCAAACAAACCTTTTGGAATTCTATGATAAAATAACGAGGATAAGACAGGACAGAGAAGATTGGGCAGACTGCATATTTCTGGACTGCCAAAAGGCCTTTGATAAAGTACCACACATGAGACTGCCATTCAAACTTGAGAGGCAGGCGGAACGGCCCTAGCATGGGTGAGGAACTACCTAACAGGTAGGAGCCAGAGAGTAACAGTAAGGGGCGAGAAGTCGGACTAGCGAACAGTAACGAGTGGAGTACCTCAAGGATCGGTGCTGGGACCAATTCTATTTCTAATAGAAATGGTTAATGACATGTTTACAGGAGTAGAGTCCTACATGTCGATGTTCGCGGATGACGCAAAGTTGATGAGAAGAGTTATGACAAATGAGGATTGTAGGATCCTCCAAGAGGACTTGAACAGGTTGCAGAGATGGTCAGAGAAATGGCTACTGGAGTTCAACACGAGCAAATGTAAAGTTATGGAAATGGGATCAGGTGACAGGAAACCAAAGGGACAATACACAATGAAGGGGAACTGCCTACCTGCGACGACGCGAGAAAGAGACCTGGGTGTGGACTTAACACCTAATCTATCTACTGAGGCACATATAAATAGGATAGCGACAGCAGCATACTCTACACTGGCAAAAGTTAGAACATCATTCAGAAACCTAAGTAAGGAGGCATTTAGGGCGCTTTACACTGCCTACGTGAGGCCAGTCTTGGAGTATGCCGCGCCATCATGAAGTCCCTACCTGAAGAAACACATAAGGAAACTGGAAAAGGTGCAGAAGTTTGCAACAAGACTCGTCTCAGCGTTACGAGGGATGGGGTATGAAGAGCACCTGAAGGAACTGAGCCTAACGACACTAGAAAAAAGAAGGGAGAGGGAGAGTATTATAGGAACATATAAAATACTCAGGGGGATTGACAGAGTGGACATAGACGAAATGTTTACACGTAATAGAAACAGAACGAGGGGACATGGGTGGAAGCTTGAAACTCAGATGAGTCACAGAGATGTTGCAAAAATGGAATGCACTTCAGGAACAGGTTGTGGAAGCAAACTCTATTCATAATTTTAAAACTAGGTATGATAGGGAAATAGGATAGGAGTCATTGCTGTAAACAACCGATGGCTAGAAAGGCGGGATCCAAGAGTCAATGCTCGATCCTGCAATCACAAATAGGTGAGTACACCCACACACACACGCGCACGCACACACACACACACACACACACGCGCGCACACACACACACACACACACACACACACACACACACACACACACACACACACACACACACACACACTCACACTCACACACACACACACACACACACACACACACACACACACACACACACACTCACACACACCCACACACACATACACCCACACACACACACACATGCACGCACACAAACACCCACACACACACACACACACACACACACACACCCACACACACACACACACACACACACACACACACACACACCCACACACACACACACACACACACACACACACACACACACACACACACACACACACACACACACACACACACACACACACACACACACACACACACACACACACACACACACACACACACACACACACCAGAACAAACAAACAACCCGAGACAAAGACTCAGACAAGCCAAGAAAGCATGCCAAACTAACTGAGAAAAGTGCGAGAGAAAATGCAATTACTTGAGAAGAGGAGAAGATACGTTGCCACAGGGAAATTAGGGGTAACTTAGTCGTATTCACGGATGGCTCTTAAGACAAGGATGTGTCCTGAGTTAAGGAAAGGGAGGAGGAATCAAGAAGGGAGGAAAGAGAATAGGAGTAGTGGGAAATAAGGAAGAGTCTCAGAAAGGAAAGAGATGAAGGCGTGGGAAGGGAAGCGTTTGGGATGGGAAGGGAGTACGCGTGGATAGTAGGATGAAGATACGTAAAAGTGGATAAGATATAGGGATATAGAGAGGGAGGGATGGATAGATGGAGTAGGGAGGGAAGGAGAGGGGAGTTGACCAGACCACACACTAGAAGTTGAAGGGACGACGACGTTTCGGTCCGTCCTGGACCATTCTCAAGTCGATTGTGATGAGGAAAGGTAGGGACAGGCAATAAATAGGCAAGAGAGAGCTGAGGAGGAAAGTAAGGTGTAGAGGGGAATTAAGGAAAGAAATTAGAGGTGATGAGGTGGATTGGTCTAGGTCATGGAATGTTCAGTAGGGGAGGGAAGGGTGAGGGGTGAGGGAGAGAATGAGTAGGGTGGAGTAAAGATTGGGGAAGAGAAAGGAAGGGGGTTTAGGTAGGTGAGGAGTGTGAGGGAAGGGGTAGAGGGAGGAGTGTGAGGGAAGGGGTAGAGTGAGGAGTGTGAGGGAAGGGGTAGAGTGAGGAGTGTGAGGGAAGGGGTAGAGTGAGGAGTGTGAGGGAAGGGGTAGAGTGAGGAGTGTGAGGGAAGGGGTAGAGGGAGGAGTGTGAGGGAAAGGGTACAGTGAGGAGTGTGAGGGAAGGGGTTTGGTAAGGGGGTACGAAGGATGAGATCTGGGAAGGATGGGAAGGATGGGAAGGGTATATAGGGAGTCACTCAGCCATAGAGAAGTTGTGTAAGGCCTTGGTGTCTAAACTTCAGTGGCCGTCGTTGCACTTGGCGTCTTAACCACGTCGTGTGGTGTTCCGTGGCGTCACAGGTGAGACTCCCGGCGTCTCCAGGTGCAACACTCCGCCTTGCACTTGATATATTTGCAATAATAAGACCGTTCTACATTTTTGTCTTTCTTCTCTAATTTATGTTGGATTCTCAACTTTGAAAAACAAAATTATCTTATTTTTATAGCAATTTGCATAATGTGGTTTTCTTATTTTATCTTGAGAATTATACTTGTTAGCATAAATAATAATAATAATAATTTTTTTATGATTTTTTTATTTTTTTTCCTTCTACCGTTTGTGAGGCTTCTATTCAAAATCTTAAAATGTATCGTCGAGTTGAGGTAAATATCTTGACTGTCGAGTGCACAATAATGTATTGTAATTGTTGTTTACGTCTTGTTATCGTGTGATTGTTATCAGGAACTGACGTGTGATCGACAGTGTAGGTGTTCATACGAACATACAATTGATGTATGTTACACAATCGACTTGAGAATGGTCCAGGACGGACCGAAACGTCGTCGTCCCTTTACCTTCTAGTGTGTGGGTTTGGTCAACATATTTCAGCCATGTTATTGTCACTCTTCTCGTCTGCAATTGATGTTATATTCGTTTTGGATGAGTTAATACAGACCTTATGATGCAGCAGTAGGGAGAACGGATGAGCTCTCACAAAAAGGGGCTTTATACTCCCACCTAGTAATGACTAGTTAGTGAGTGTACCCTCATACACCCACTGGTGTACCACTGTTGTACCACTGATGTACCACAATTGTACCAGTATCCCCAACACGCTCTCTGTTCCACAATCTCTTTCCGCCTCATTCAAACCCCAGCAAACACACACATCCCCAGCAAACTCTCAAAACCTATGCCACCTCTGCCTTCAGCTCAACTACTCTTTCCACTACCACAAGCACCACCACCACCACAAGCACCACCACCATCACAAGCACCACCACAAGCACCACCACCACCACCAGCACCAACACCACCACCACCACCACCACCACCACCACCACAAGCACCACCACCACAAGCACCACCACCACCACCACATTGGACCTGAAATAAAATATGAATGAACTAGTGAGAATCAAACCAAAACGTAGGAACATGTGTAGAAAGAGAGGACCCAGAGAGAGGAAGAGAGCCGAACACTGCAGAAAGAGGCAGCCAGGAAGACAACTTCAAGACAGACCGAAAAGGGCAGAAGAAAACATTAAGATTACCGAAAACGTTGAAAAAAGAGAAGGAAACACAGAGAGTAGAATAACAGAGGGGAGAATTAAACACAGAGAATGAAAGCGAGATGTGGGGAAGCATAAGGCTGAACAGAGGGGAAATAAGGTTCAGAGGGAAAGAAGGTAATTAAGGAAAGAGTATTAGAGGCTGTCAGAACTACCCAAGACATGACCTTCTCAAGACAGGGTTGGAGAGGGAGAGATCAATCGTTACACCTGCCACAGCACCAGGGGGGGGGGGGGACACATGACAAACAAGGAGAGACGCACAATTGAATGAAACAACGGAAATTCTACACAGCATTTAGACTCGAGATGCAACAGTGAGTAGAGGAGTTTCTGCAGTCTTGGGAGGCTTCAATCAGTGAAGTTGTTACTACTAAGGGTAATGCTACTGTTAATATTTCTACTAATGTTACTGCAAACATTACTACTGTTATTATTAATACTGCTCCTATTACTACTCCTATTACTATATATATCCCAAACACGCGTTCGATCCTCCTTTCCTAGCAAAATCAGATAATCAAGGAGGGAGAGAGTTTGAATACTCCTTGTAGGTGATCCTGGAGGGGGGAGGGGGAGGGAGAGAATCCCCCTCCCCCTCTCGTCTTGAAGTCTGGGATTAGCGAGTCAACGCCCCCTTTGCCTCGCTTATATACGCCTTTCGACGCCAAGGAAAATTTGACAGTATCCGTTTTTTAAGAGCCAGTATAAAATGGTGGTGTGACCCCCCTTCACGCCAGCACACAACATGGGGGGAACTATGATAACTTGGCGTCCCGAGCGCCACTTTGTCGTAACGGGAGGCAAGGTGCCACTTTGGTTATATTTGATGCGGGCTGCTGCATTTAGGACCCCCCCCCCCTCCACTGTGTCGCGCGACGCCACGAACGACTTTGTTAAGGACCCCGGTGTTACGAGGGCCGTGCTGGTCTTGTCTCTTGGTGGTCTTTCCTGAGTAGTACCTCGCATCACACCAGGTGCACCACCTCGCGTCACACCAGGTGCACCACCTCACGTTACACCAGGTGCACCACCTCGCGTCACACCAGGTGCACCACCTCGCGTCACACCAGGCGCACCACCTCGCGTCACACCAGGCGCACCACCTCGCGTCACACCAGGTGCCCCACCTCACGTTACACCAGGTGCACCACCTCGCGTCACACCAGGTGCACCACCTCGCGTCACACCAGGCGCACCACCTCGCGTCACACCAGGTGCACCACCTCGCGTCACACCAGGCGCACCACCTCGCGTCACACCAGGTGCACCACCTCGCGTCACACCAGGTGCACCACCTCGCGTCACACCAGGTGCACCACCTCGCGTCACACCAGGTGCACCACCTCACGTCACACCAGGTGCACCACCTCGCGTCACACCAGGTGCACCACCTCGCGTCACACCAGGTGCACCACCTCGCGTCACATCAGGCGCACCACCTCGCGTCACATCAGGCGCACCACCTCGCGTCACACCAGGTGCACCACCTCGCGTCACACCAGGCGCACCACCTCGCGTCACACTAGGTGCACCACCTCGCGTCACACCAGGTGCACCACCTCGCGTCACACCAGGCGCACCACCTCACATTACACCAGGTGCACCACCTCGCGTCACACCAGGCGCACCACCTCGCGTCACACCAGGTGCACCACCTCGCGTCACACCAGGCGCACCACCTCGCGTCACACCAGGTGCCCCACCTCACGTCACACCAGGTGCACCACCTCGCGTCACACCAGGTGCACCACCTCACGTCACACCAGGTGCCCCACCTCGCGTCACACCAGGTGCCCCACCTCGCGTCACACCAGGTGCCCCACCTCACGTCACACCATTTTAAACACGACTCACAGCTAATGAGACACAACCCGTCCTCGACTCAAGTCCATTCCATCCAGCGGTCGACCCCAAAGACGCATTCATAAATGTTAACATTCTGTGTATTCAAAACAGGAGTTTTCTCCAATATAACTTAATATTATTTTATATTGACATCTTATACATATTTAGGCACTGGTTAGGTCAGGTGTTTAGGTTCTGTTGGCAATTATTTGTATTTGTAGTACGTGGGTGAAGCATTTATAGCGTTGTGGTTCGAACAAAATTGTTCAGTAAAGCACTTGTTCGAACGTCATCAGTTGTGAGTCGTGTGTAAACCGTTTTTCATTCATAAACAACGTGTTCGGCGGGTAGCCTGTGCTCCAAACAAGACCCAAAAGTGATTCCATGCACCTGCCAAACGCCTTGTTTATGAATGAAAACGGTTTACACGCGACTCACAACTGATGACGTTCGAACAAGTGCTTTACTGAACAATTTTGTTCGAACCACAACGCTGTAAATGCTTCACATACGTACTACAAATACAAATAATCGCCAACAGAACCTAAACACCTAACCTATGCCTATATATGCACAATATGCTAATATATTATAATATTAATTTATATTTGAGAAAATTCCTGTTTTGAATGAACAGCATGTTAAAATTTATGAATGCGTTTGTGGGGTCGACCGCTGGACGGAATGAACATGAGTCGAGGACGGGTTCCATAAACAAGGGGTTTAGCGGGTGCATGGAATGGACTTTGGGTCTTTGTTTGGAGCTGCTGCTGCTGCTTTTTCCTCCACACAATGGAAACATGCAATAATTGTTCCCATACCGAAGCCCAATGACCCTGGCAATTACAGACCTATCAGTCTCGTGTCATGCACTTGCAAGATGCTTGAAAGGATCATCCTAAACCGACTGTTGCACAAAATAGGCAGGTTAGGGGAGGGGGTCAATGGATTTGTTAAAGGACGGAGCACAGCAAACTGTATAGTTTATTACTTGGCTAATGACACGGCTAGGTACTCTGTATTTGTTGACATCAAAGGAGCCTTCGACAAAGCACAGGGGACTGCGCTCCTGGACGAGCTTGCATGCATGGGTGTCAAGGGGAGACTCATGAAATGGGTTGAAGACTACCTCACAGGGAGGAAAGCCAAGGTTTGCTGCAATGGAGCAGTCTCCAGAACAATGAATATGGAACTCGGGACCCCCCAAGGCGGAGTCTTAAGCCCTACACTACTCAATGTACTTATGAACGCCATTGCTAATATTGACATTCCGGAAGGAACACAACAAGTGGGATATGCAGATGATGTCCTAATACAAGCTCCCACATAGGGAAAAATTAAACAGCCTATTGTAAAAATTATAATCCAAAATATAATATATATAGATGTGATAGAGAAAATAGGTCAAATGGAGGAGTAGGTCTGTATATTAAAGAGGACCTGGTATGCACAGAACTACTAAACTCAACTAATGTAAAGGTACTTGGAATTAAGGTAGAAAAAATAAACTTATTATTCTAATATATAAACTGCCAGAAAAAACGATTGAGGAATTCACAGAGCAGATGCACAGAATAGAGAACATCCTTGATAATCTAGAGAATCCAGCACCCGATATTATCTTCCTTGGAGATTTCCATTTACCATGTCTAAGATGGAGAATGACAAACACAAATATCATAGCAGGGAATGACCCGGGAAATAACCAACCACAGGTCAGAGAACTTTTGAGATTCTGTGACAAATTCTCGCTCAATCAACAGATCACTGAACCAACTAGGAACGAAAACACACTAGACTTGTTATTCACAAACAATGATGAACTAATCAGAGACATTACATTCTCAGATACTACATACTCAGACCACAAGCTCATTGAAGTGCGTAATAGCATAAATAACGGTCGTAGGTCTAAGAGACCCAACAAGCGAGAAGGGGTACTCAATTAATTCAATTTCAACAATAAGAGGATCGACTGGGAGAAAATAAATGTAGACCTTGCAACCATTCAATGGGAGACGGTTTTAAGCGACAAAACTCCCACACAGGGAATAGCTCAACTGACAGCTGAAGCTTACAAGGTCTGCTTGAAGCACGTGCCTGTGAGGAGGGGGCAGAAAGAGGACCACTCTAGAAAGAGAACGCAGAAGACTGTACAGGAGAAGGAAAATAACTGAAATGCTTAGGCAGACATGACTATCACAAGAAAAGAAAATAAACCTAAACAGGGAGATCGAATAAATAAAACAAACGTTGAAGCGATCATACGAATCTGAGGAAATGGAATTGGAACAGAAAGCTATGCAAGAGATAAAGAAAAATCCGAAATATTTTTTTACATACGCAAAATCAAAATCAAAAACCTCGACCAGTATTGGACCGTTAATTACAACTGAAGGTACGTACGCAGAGGACAACAAAGAGATTAGTGAAATTCTAAGAAGCCAGTATGAGGCTATGTTTAGCACACCAATAAACAACATGAAAGTTGATGACCCAGACAGCTTCTTTATGAATGACATTCAAGCTGCAGATAATATAACGGATATTAACACAAACTCGGAAGACTTTGAAACAGAAATTGACAATATGCCTATGCACTCAGCTCCTGGGCCTGACTCATGGAATTCAATATTCATAAAATAATGTAAAGTACCAGTAGCGAGAGCACTCAGCGTAATATGGAGAAAGAGCCTGGATACAGGGGAGATACCAGCAGCACTTAAATCAGCAGACCTGCACAAGGTGGAGGGGGTAGTAAAGCCTTGGCAAAAATTTTGTTAGACCAGTTTCACTAACATCTCACATAATAAAAGTTTTTGAAAGAGTGATTAGGAATCAAATTTCTAGTTTTATGGAAAATAATGAACTACACAACCCAGGACAACATGGATTTAGAGCGGGAAGATCCTGTCTGTCACAGTTACTCAACCACTATGACAAAATTACAAAAGCTCTAGAAGAAAAGCAAAATGCAGATGTAGTATACACAGACTGTGCAAAGGCATTCAACAAATGTGACCATGGGGTGATTGCACACAAAATGAGGCCAATGGGAATAACTGGTAAAGTAGGACGCTGGATACTCAATTTCCTGTCGAACAGGACACAAAGAATAACAGTCAATCAAATAAAATCGTGCCCAAGCACAGTTAAAAGCTCTGTACCTCTAGGTACAGTCCTTGCACCACTGCTTTTCCTTATTCTCATATGAGATATAGACAAAAATACAAGTCAGAGCTTCATGTTATCCTTTGCAGATGACACGAAAATCAGCATGAAAACACTTCTGCGGAAGACATTGAAAAACTACAAGCAGATATCAACAAAGTTTTCGATTGGGCAGCAGAAAATAACATGGTGTTTAACAGTGATAAATTTCAGGTACTCAGGTACGGCAAACATGAGGATCTGAAACATAATACAGAGTACAAAACACAATCGAATCTGCCCATAGTAGGAAAACAGCATGTCAAGGATTTGGGAATAATGATGTCCGACAATCTAACGTTTAGGGAGCATAACCAAGCAAATATTGCGTCAGCCAGAAAAATGATCGGATGGATTACGAGAACTTTCAAATCCAGGTATCCAATCACAATGGTTGTACTCTTCAAGTCACTTGTGTTGTCCCGTCTTGAGTACTGTTCAGTACTCACTTCCCCCCTTCAGAACCGGAGAGATTGTTGAAATAGAGAGAATACAGAGAACATATATGGATAACATATACATAGACGCGATAAAGAACCTAAATTATTGGAATCGTCTCAAAGCTCTTCAAATGTACTCACTAGAAAGGAGACGAGAGAGATAATAAATAATATACACATGGAAAATTTTGGAGGGCCAGGTCTCAAATCTCCACAGTAAAATAAAAACATACTGGAGTGAACGATATGGAAGAAAATGCAGGATAGAACCAATGAAGAGCAGAGGTGCCATAGGCACAATCAGAGAACACTGTATAAACATGAGAGGTCCACGGTTGTTTAACGTCCTCCCAGCGACTATAAGAAATATTGGCGTAACGACCGTTGGCATCTTCAAGAGAAATCTAGACTGTTTTCTAAAAAGCGTGCCGGACCAACCGGGCTGAGGTGGGTATGTGGGCCTGCGGGCCGCTCCAAGCAACTGCCGAGTGGACCAAACTCTCACAAATTAAACCTGGTCTCAGGCCGGGTTTGGGGTGTAGAAGAACTCCCAAAACACCATCAAGCAGATATCGAACAGGTATTGAACTCCTTGGAAGGAAATGTATTGAGCTTGGTTTCACTCTCTCCACAAACAAGACAAAAGCATACTCGCATCACAAGCGGGGAGCAAATGAAGAACTGCAAATTAATGGTGTAACACTTGAAAGGATTGACCACTACAGGTACCTTGGCGTCATTGTCGGCTCTCACAAGGGGAAGAAAGAGGAGCTACACCAACTCATAGGAAAATGCAAAAGCCGACTCAGGGAACTAAAAGCTATGACCTGGAATGGACATGGAGCCGTCCTTAAATTGCCGTCCTTAAATTGCCGTCCTTAAATTGATGTACACAGCCTATGTGCGCTCCGACATAGACTATGCCGCACCAGTTTTATGCACCTACTCCTAAAACGATATGAAGAGGCTAGAAAGCATACAGAATGAAGCCATGACAATCATTCTTGGAGTTCCAAGAACTGCCAAATCGTCTAATCTACGAGAGTTGTTGTCCCTCCCCAGTGTTAAAAACAGAATTAAGGAACTGTATGCTAATCTTGCAATTAGGATAGCCAGAGATCCCTATTACAATGATATTGCCAAGAAAAAAATTAGATCTGTGTTACTTATAGGAAGGAACAGGAGAAGCAAAAAATGGCATCACAGATCAGTCTCCTACCTCAAAGAACTTCACCTGCTTGGGCAAGCTCGTGAGCTCCTGCCTGTAGAGAGTTCTGGGAGGATGACTCATGCCATTTCATTGATCATCATCAATGAAATGGCAGCGAAAAAATTAAACATGATACCA